CGCACCCGGTTGGGACCTTCCCGACCGGGTCTAGCTGCTGCCGGGAGCCGGCTTGCAGTCTCAGACCAGGTCTGGAAGACAGCTGTAGGCCTGAATGGCCAGCTTTCACAGGGAGGTCCTGGGTCATTCGCCCCACGGGCAGCCGGTCTTCTGGTGCCTCAGGACAAACTCCTCCTCCAGCGTGAGGTTGGTAGGGGACAGGCGCGGGTTGCTCAGGGGCATACTCTGCCGCTGAGAGCCACCGTTCGCGGTAAGGGAAGACCTACAAGTGTACAGATAAACAGACCCACCAGAGCGTAGTTAGACTTGGAGTTCCCGCTCCAGAACACCTGGAAGTGCCTCCACTCCCCAAGTCCGGCGGCTCCAGTGCTCGCTAGCGCGCTCAGCCGGCCCCACTGCGGGTCCTCGCGAACTTCTGCGGAGCCAGCGCCCACGGCCCGGCTGTTTGGAGCGGCGCTGTTGTTTTCGCCTTTCCTGAGCCGGCAACCCTCTTCACACGAACTGCAGTCGACAGGCTCCACAGATTGCTCTGGTCTCAACCGCTGCAGCGTTCTCAGGTCGCACAGTGCTCAAGCATGCCCTGCACCCTTGGACTCAGGGGTGAATGAGACTGGGAGGAAAGGGTCCGCAACCGGGCGTAATGGTAGGAGAGGAGAGGAAGATGGGCTAGTTTGTATGCTCGAACTTTGCCACGCGGAGCTGTAGGGTACAGCAGAGGCGCCTGGGGCGAGCAGATGGGCTGCGCGGATCTCCACGCACACACTGGAGTCCTGCCAGCTCTATGCCTGGTGTGCCCCCGCTGCGTGAGGGCCACCCCTGTGGGGTCACACGATCAGTAGTCTCCCACCTCCAACTCCGGCAAACGGAGCCGAAACCCTCCGAGAAAGGGATGAAAGGTGAAATGTACTGACAGTGGTCAAACAAACGTTACGCTCCAGAGCAGTGGCCCTGTGGAGAGTGGGCTGGGGCGATCTCGCATCGTTCCTGAGGCTTGCCAGTTTGGTGAATAAAATTACAGAAGTTTGTGGGCGTCTCGCTACCAGTCCAGCTCAGACCTCTCTCAGCAGCTCCGCTGTGTGGAGGAGCAGTTTCCCTCCCTGCCCCCGCCCTCCGGCTCTGCCAGTTCACAACCCGAAGCCGGCGGGCGACTAGTCAGCGGGAGTTTCAGGACAAACTCCTCTTGTAGCAGCTCGGCTCTCCATCGGTTTCACGATTATATCCGAGAAATTTCTGGATATAAATTTCTCCACTCCCCTATCCATTGAGACCGTAAGAAGGGGCGGAAGAGACGGTCGGGATACCTCTGGGAGCAACACACACTTCACAATAAACACTCAACAAATTCCCGGTTATGGAAACATTTCTGGAATAGAAAACTCTGAGCAGGCACATGTCTCCCCAAAATGCTTCCCCCAATTGTTCTGGGCTGCTTGAGAGAGGAGGCCAGGCAGAGAGGCAGATGGAGGAGGAGGCTGGGCACGACCATAGACTTTGTAACCAAGATCTGTCCAGCTTTCTGCTCCTTGGAGGCTGCTGTAGGCATGAGTGCTGGAGCTTAGGCTTCGGGATCATCTCCAGGTTTTTGCCAAAGGTGCAACAAACTTAGGTAGGACCTAGACCACAGCCAGAAGACAAGGAAGAAGCTGAGTCTGTAGGTGGGAAAGGCAGTGGCCACCAGAGAAGTGAAAAAAACAAAAGGAATCCTGAATCCTTGGGTCGTCCTTCTCCCAGACCCCAGTATATCTGTTCTTGGCACTGTTTAAAACAAATTGGCCCAGAGCCTTGGAAGGATAAGCGACTACCAGAAATCCCCTTCCTAGGTAAGAGGGTAGCTCAGTCAGGGAGGCAGTTATTTGGATAGCAGAATTCTGGCCTGGAGCCGGGCAACGAGGTCCACTCAACTTAGGGCCCCTCAAAAGCCTGGCAAGTAACATGGGCCTCAGTTTCCACTCCTGAAAAAAGTTGTGTGTGTGTGTGTGTGTGTGTGTGTGTGTATAGAGTCTGATGAGCGATTTCTTAGGGCCATAACCCAATCCACCCTGCAGAACAGACTGGAGGTTCTATTCTGCTTTGTCCGAACTTGGATCGAATGTGCATAAGAGCCAGGCAGAGGCAGAGGCCAGTAGCTACTGTTGGTCAGTAGAGGGTCTTGCCTGGAGCATTAGAACCAGGGGATTAGGGCAGCAAACACTTCAGCCAGTCCTACTGTGAAGCTGGGCAGGGGCTGGAGCCTGAGAAACCAGGAGAGCACTGGCATGGCAGGAAGCTACTCATTCCTGCTTGCCATTTTCAAAATGAAGACATTCAGAAGATGAAATGGATAGCATGATACCAATGCTTTTCTCCTCACTTATTTAGACACTAGCAGAGATGAGCTGGGTTGGAGTTAGTGTGTGGTAAATGGTGTGGGGTATCTGCAAGTGGGGTCCTGAGAGTGTGAGAAAGAACTCCATGTAAAAAAGAGCAAGCTTGAGGTATGTATACTGTTGCCAGATAAAACCTATCTTCTAAATCTAGCAACCCTAGGTATGTCAGTTTATCTGGACTCAACGCAAGAAACGACTTACCGGGACTTTTTTTTTTTCTTTTTTTTTTGAGAGCCCTATCACCCACGACATTCCAATTTCAGGACCAACAGTCCTTGTCCAATTTATTGTTCCTGAATTGAGGATTGAACCTTTTCTCTTTCTTCCAAGGATACTCTTTATCCAGACCTGGCACAACAAGTGGATCTCCTTGATTTGAGGTCCCAGAGAGAACTGTAAGTCCCAGAGGTCTTGCTCTCCCTGGATTTGAGCAGCTACACCAGCCTTTCACCCTCTTCTGTTCTTGGCAGGATGAAAAACTATTGTGAACATTCCACAACCAGGCCAGGCTCTATCTTGTTGCAGGAGCCTGGATGAATCCTTCCCCACTTCTTTGAGCCTCTGCAGCCCCATCAGTAGAATGGGAGAGTTGGATTTACCTAGACTCTTCCACTGACTGTCAGATAAAAGAATCCATTCATCCTGCGGAGATTCAGCCCACTAGGGCTGCAAATTCCCTTCCTACTCCTGAGCGTATCTACAGGGGCCTGAGTTCAGCACAATGACCAGAGGTGGTACCACTAAGAAGTCCCCTTCTGGGCCAGGACTTGAGGTCCAGATGGGAGATCAGGGCCCCAAGAATCTACAATTTATCTCAATACCTTCTCCATAACCTAGAATATGGTTATGTTTACATATTAATTATGAGATAGGTGTTTTAAATGTTTTTTACAGAGGAAGAGACAGACAAAAGTTTAAGAAAATCAGTGACAGACCTGCTAAGTACGGAAGCCAGAAATGGAACCCCAGAGCTTGAGTCTAGGGTCCTTGCGCTTAACAGCTATGCAGACCAGGAAACTGAGACTCCAAAGGCGGGGGGTGGGGTGGGGGGTGCATCTTAATGAGCCACAGCCTTTTGACAAAGGCGCGCAGCCTGGACTCAAACCTCCAATGCTAGGAGCTGTGGCCACTGCGCGGCGCTGTGGGGGCAGCGGTCAGGTCATCCGCTCAGTTCTTGTCCAGGTCCAGCGCCAGACCCCCCTTCCACGCCCCAAAAGTTGAACTGGGCTCAGTGTGAGCTGGAGTGATTTGTTTCTGGGTCCTGGAGGGAGGCTAAGGGAGGGAGGCCTAATGGGATGGGTTGGAACCCGACTAGCAGGAAGAGCACACTAAACCAACCTTTTGTGCACGAGATCCCAAGATAAAGGCTACCCTGGCCCTGGGCTGAGGTCAGGGTTCACTGACGGAGGTCTCCATGGGAGACTTACTGCCTGTCCAAAAGTCCTCTAAGTTCCGGGGCCAGAAAGGCGGAGGGGAGGCAGCTCTCAGTGTGTAGGGGAAGAAAGGGAAATTCATCCAGGGATTCTCAGACCCGGGAACAGACACCCAGACAAACTCAGAGTTTTCAACAGGGGACAGAGACAAGAGATTCAAGGACAGCAAGAAATACAGAGTCATAGAGACTGAAATGCTGATACGGAAAACGGTCGCAGTACAGGCAAACTATGAGCTATGGACGGGTGCGCGCCCAGGGAGTGAGGCCGCAGCGAAGCATCTGAGAGCCGACCACAAGCCAGCGGCGCACTCCCTGGGGATAGTGGTAGGGCCGGAGCTGGGAAGGAAAGAGATGGGAGCAGCCAAAATTTCTCACCTTTCAGGGGCGGGAGGCTGCGGGCGCCAAGTTTGCTCCTCGCGATCATTTTCCCCTCGGGCCGGAAGCCACTTGAGCTCTGGCGGGCCCTGCTCGGTTGGGTTGGTCCGGGCATCTCAGGCTCTCGCATTTCAACGGTCCTTCGGCCCTGGTGGCCGAGACACTGCATTGGAGAGATGATGGATGCGGGCTGTAGCCACATCTACCGGCTCCCGCTGGCGCCCGCGTAAATCGTAACTTCCAGGGCTGAGCACACTGAAGGCGGTGACTTCAGGGAGCCGAGGGTTTGCTAGAGCTGCGGGGAAGATGATGACCCGCCTCCAGCCACTCGAGCCCAGCTCCCGCCGCGGCGCGGGTTTGTTCCCGCCGGGCCCCAGAGCTGAGGCCCTCCGCCCACCCCCTTCCTCCCCGCCCCGCCCCGCCCAGGGAGCTCCGCCCCGGGCCCGCGGTTCTTCCGCCTTATACAGCCGCTAGGCGGGAGGGACTAAACCCCCAAACCCCCAGTCCCACCCCTGTGACTAGGGTACGAGATCGGCAAGGGTAAGGGGTGGTCTAGGCTCCTTCTGCCTGCGCCGTGGGTACGGGTCCCTGCTCGGGCTCCCGGGGCAGCGAGGGAGCAGTCAATTAGGGGATCCCTGCAGGGTGAAAGCCTCAGACTCGGAACACTAGGGGGCGCTGCGAAGCTGGGGGACACCCCTCCCGGTCCGCCTCAGTCCCCCGCCCCCTCCCCGCCCGCGCGCAAAACACACTCGCCCCAGAAGCAGCGCGGCCGAGCCCGAGCCTTGGCCGGAGCGGAGCCGGAGAGCGGCGGCGGCAGCGGCACCATGACCCTGGGCAGCTGTTGCTGCGAGATCATGTCCTCCGAGAGCTCCCCGGCCGCGCTGTCTGAGGCAGACGCAGACATAGACGTGGTGGGCGGTGGCAGCGGTGGGGGGGAGCTTCCAGCCCGCTCGGGGCCCCGCGCCCCCCGGGACGTGCTCCCCCACGGCCACGAGCCTCCCCCGGAGGAAGCCGAGGCAGACGTAGCAGAGGACGAGGAGGAGTCGGGTGGCTGCTCGGACGGCGAGCCCCGCGCTCTAGCGCCTCGGGGGGCGGCAGCCGCAGCGGGAAGCCCGGGGCCAGGCGCGGCGGCTGCGGCGGCCCGGGGCGCGGCGGGGCCGGGGCCGGGACCGCCGTCGGGGGGCACGGTGACGCGGAGCCCGCTGGTGAAGCCACCCTACTCGTACATCGCGCTCATCACCATGGCTATCCTTCAGAGCCCCAAGAAACGCCTGACACTGAGCGAGATCTGCGAGTTCATCAGCGGCCGCTTCCCCTACTACCGAGAGAAGTTCCCCGCCTGGCAGAACAGCATCCGCCACAATCTCTCACTCAACGACTGCTTTGTCAAGATCCCTCGCGAACCGGGCAACCCGGGCAAGGGCAACTACTGGACGCTTGACCCGGAGTCGGCAGACATGTTCGACAACGGCAGCTTTCTAAGGCGCCGCAAACGCTTCAAGCGGCAGCCGCTGCCGCCGCCGCATCCACACCCGCACCCTCACCCTGAGCTGCTGTTGCGTGGCGGGGCTGCAGCGGCTGGGGATCCCGGAGCCTTCCTGCCCGGCTTCGCCGCTTACGGCGCCTACGGCTATGGCTACGGTCTGGCTCTCCCGGCCTACGGCGCACCCCCGCCGGGGCCGGCCCCGCACCCGCATCCACACCCGCACGCCTTCGCTTTCGCCGCCGCCGCGCCTTGCCAGCTGTCGGTTCCCCCAGGCCGCGCCGCTGCGCCTCCACCCGGACCTCCGACGGCCTCGGTGTTCGCGGGCACAGCCTCCGCTCCGGCTCCTGCGCCTGCCCCAGGGTCGGGTCCGGGCCCCGCGGGCCTGCCAGCCTTCCTTGGCGCGGAGCTGGGCTGCGCCAAAGCTTTCTACCCTCCGTCTCTGAGTCCTCCTGCAGCTGGCACCGCGGCCAGTCTGTCCACCGCACTCCTGCGTCAGGGCCTCAAGACTGACGCGGGCGGTGGTGCGGGCGGCGGGGGCGCTGGGGTAGGGCAGAGGCCTTCCTTCTCTATAGACCACATCATGGGCCACGGTGGTGGCGGGGCAGCACCTCCGGGCGGCGGCGAGGGCTCACCCGGATCGCCGTTCGCGGCAGCCGCGGGTCCCGGGGGTCAAGCCCAGGTCTTAGCCATGCTGACTGCCCCGGCCCTGGCTCCGGTGGCCGGCCACATCCGCCTCTCTCACCCCGGGGACGCGCTTCTGTCCTCAGGGCCCCCGTTCGCTAGCAAAGTTGCCGGCCTCAGTGGCTGCCACTTCTGACCGCACAGGGCTCAGGGCCAGTTAGGCCCGCACTCCTCAGCCTCTCCCAGGAGCTCCTGCGGCCCCAGCGGAACTCAGGGAGTCTTATTTATGAAGAGTCTCCAGACCTGGGGCCGGCGCGCGTGACTTGGCACTTCAGACGCCACGCTCAGAATCTCGCCGAGAGTTGGGACGAAACGGGCTCCATCGCACAGGGCGAGGCCTAGGTCTTCGTAAAGAGGTCCCAAGCCAAGATCCCATTCCAGTCTGAGCAGTAAAAGAGGGATGGGGGAGCCTTCGCTTTTTCCCTACCTCTGCGCCCGTTCGCGGCCCTGGAAGAATGCTTTCCCGGAGATATGCCTGCACGGGCCCTGTGGATCCCGCCAGAAACACCAAGGGCGCTGAGAAATCTCCCTTTCTTCCTCTCCCCCATTCCTTCCTTCCTCAACTTTGAGATCCTGCTTGTCCAATATTATAATTTAAAGACCTCTATTATCCGCTTTATGCTTAAAAGAAAAGTTCGACCTTTTTGTTGTTGTTTTGTTTTTGCTGTTCTCCAAGGAAGTTGGAAGCCTAAAGCAGTGTCTACACAGGGGAAGCTGAAAGGAGAGGTGAAGCGGGGGTCTCCACAATCTTTGCAGAAACCCCAGATCCCACTCCACTGAAGAAAATCCTTTCTCTTGTTTGGGCACTTGTAAAGGAACTTTCCCTGCTTTCCTGTGGCCAACCATCTAGGGCCAGCAGCCCTCTCTGCCTTTGGCTCTGCCTCAGGCCCTGTGATATTTATTGTAGTTAAAGGCAATGAGGTCGGGTGGGAGAGGAGGGTCTGGGTCAGGGACTGGAAGGTGGGGGTGGGGTGGGTAAGGGCACAGAGCTATGGCAAGGGGTCTTGTAATTGTGTGTAAATTTCTGTACAGCGGGCTGCTCTCTGCGTTCTCTGTCCACTGGTGTGCATTAATTTGGACTTCTCTGCTCAGGGGAGTCTGTGAAATCATCTGATGGTTTGTGTGGAAGAAAAAAAAATCTGTCTCCTCCCTGCCTTCCCATTGGTGTCAATTGAATAAATGTATGTGAACTTCAGTGGTCACCAGCTGGGTCTGCTTGCCTGCACTCCCTTGTCATTATAGGGGCTCTTGCAGAAGACCCCAAGCTCAGAAGGGAAGAGGGAGTGAGGAAGGAAAAGGCCGGCGGAAGAGGGTTGGATTTTTCAGGTACTGGAGGCACTGCAACTTTGGCCTTCAGCTGCTAACTGGGGCCAGCTCTCTGGGAAGTCTGTGACCCCTCCAGCACTTTCATTTTCACTCTAGTACTAAGAAGGGTTTTGCCTGGGGTTTCAAATGCACCTGAGGAGTCTTACCTCCTTTTACTTTTACTGTGGCCTGGGCAGAGGACTGAGTGCTTGGTGCTGTCAAACACTTTGCCCACTGACTACAAGGAGACTACATCTCTTGATATACATTTTATATACCTCTGTGTTTCTGTGTGTAGGGCTTTGATAGAGTTCATTGTTTTTGTGTTTGGGTTATTTTGCTTCTTGAATTTATGTCTGTGAACTGTATTTCAGAATATCCGTGCTTTTCCCCTATGTGTGTGTTTTTGTGACTCAGTTATTGTCTGTCTCTAGGAGGAGAGGGATTTCTTTGGGCACTATTAGGGCCTTTAGAATCACTCCTCCCCACACTTGTAATGGAGTGGAAGTTTATTTAGGGGCTTTTAAAATTGCATTAGAAACCTGTCTCTCCTTCAGTCTGAAAGGACCAGAGGTGCTCTATACAGCTAACGGACAGTGAGTGGGGGCTCACTGTTAAGGTCAAGCTCATAGTTGGAAGCTACTGCCTGAGTGCAAATCCATTGCTCTGGTTGGAGTCTGTCTTCTGTAGCACACTGAGCCCTCAGCTCTCTGCCTGTGCCTGGCATTCCTGGTAACCAGCTTTGCAGACCTGGTGGGTGAGGGTGATGCTTTTGGTGGAGCAAAGATGGTTGCTTAGCTCTTTTATCTGTGTGGTCCACTGAGATCATAGAAGAGGAAAAATATAGTAGTGCAGGAAGAAGCAGTTAGCTTTCACTAAAAAACAGACACTGTTGAGGACAAGGGTTGGGAGACAAGTGACAGAGAAGGAAGAAGACAGGGTCAGAGACCCAGATGCAAGAGAACCCAAAGCTGTGGGCAGAGAGAAGTTACCTAGGCCTCTTCAGCTAGGATTCCAGTTGCTGGCAATAATAGGGAGAAAGGGGGCTTAGTACAAGGCCCATGTAGAATGAGGACTGGAATTAGGATGAGAATGAGAACCCCAGAGCTGGGGAAGGGTTGTTGAGACTCCTAAGTCTCCCATCATTTTCACCTATGGAAAATGCTCAAGGTGTGTATGGCAATTTAAATTTCTCTGCCAGAGGCAAGGCATCCCTCCTCCATCTTGCTTTGAGATATGGGAGTAGGGAGAGGTCGAAGGAAATAGGCCACTTCCCTACCATTTTATCAAAGGATCCAGAAGTAAGGTTATGTTCAATGGTCAGTGAGAAATTTCTGCTGATGCTGGGATAATGGTCTTTGACTGGCTGCTTTGACTTCCATTGCTCTGAGTGTGATTGTGTTTCTTTTCATTTAAGGAAGGGTGAATGTGATCATGCATGATGCATGTGTGTAGGGGGTACATATTGTCTACAAATGTGTTTGCTTTCTCAATAAAGCACTTTGCAGTTACATGATCTCGTTTGCCATGAGTAGGTGACTCTCAACTATTAGGTGGAGCTTTAAATAAAAGATTTACCAGTTGGTCTTTCTCTTCTAGAGGAGAAAATTAAGCTAGGCAGAAACACATATCTGACGGTGGATAGATAGACGAAATTACTGCTTTAACTACTATTTACAGAAGTGTTAGATTCTCCTGGTTTCCTTTTTTTTAAGATGCAGAATACATATTTATTTACCTATTTTCCTTGATGTCTCTCTCTCTCTCTCTCTCTCTCTCTGTGTGTGCGCCTGCGCATGTGTGTATTTATCAGAGTTTATTACTCTGTGTCTCTGTGTGTCAGAAGGTATAGTTTAGGAATTTGGGAAGAAGAGAGAGATCTTCTGGAGATCTTGGGGCCCCAGACCCATGACTCAGACCCTAGTTTCCCAGTGAGTCAAGAAGGCCAGGTCTGGGCCAGATACAATTATGGCTGAGGACTAGGGGCCAGAGAGAAACCACTAATGCTCAGCTGGCAGCCCAGGAGGAGGCAGGAGAAAAGGGAAGGTATTTGCAATTCTGGACTCTTTTAGGTTGTCTTCTTGGGCAACCTATTAGGGAGGATGAAGGAGTTCCAGGATATATATGTTACAATCTTCCTGGCTTTTTTTTTTTTTTCCAGATTGGAAGGGCCCAGTGGGTGACTTCCACCGGATCTGTGGGTGCATAGAGCGAGTGTTGACTCACTCACATAGAGGCCCAGTCTCCTAGGAGGAGAAACAGGTCCTCCCATCAGGAACGGCTCCCTTAGTTTCCCTCCCTGCCTGGATAGAGGCAGCTGAGAACTGTTGCCCCAGAGGCCCCAACAAACGGTGACAATAATAAGAAAATATCCAGGGCACACCTTCCTCTCTCCGAGGTGAGAAAAAAAATGGTAAGAAATCGGCCGGGGGTTCAGAGAGTGCTGCTGAGAGCGGGCAGTTTAAAGAGGAAGAAAATTGGCGAATTTCACTGGTCAATTTCACTTCATTTCGTTCAATTTCGTTCAATTTCATTCCTTTTCATCCGGCGCCGGAGGCCCGAGGCCACAAGGAGGGGGAGGAGGGTCTTTCCGGGCAGAGTTTCCCCCATCTTGCAGATTTACTTTCTATGGCTGTGAAGAACAACCTTGATTCTCCAACCTTCACATACGTTTTTCAGCCGCAGCTAAGGGCAGACATTTTATTTTATTGAAGAGTATTTGGTTTGGGTGATCGAGGCCAGTCGGCGAGCCTCCCCGCACTTCTCTGTTGCAGTCCCAATTAAAATGCTTAATTCTTTTCACCGCCTATTCCTCCCCATCTTTCTTTCTTTCTCCAAGGGGCTCCCCAGACCACCCAGGAGCCAGAGTTGGGGGGGGCTGGACACTTCCCCTCCATATCCAATTTGTTCTCGCCACAGCGGGCGCGTCTTCGTGGTTACAAAGCGCTTTTTCCCCCTGATGACTTTCTTTCCCCTTTTCAAAAACACTTCTATCTCCCCCCTTCAACTAGCCACCCTCCCCGACCCACCCCTCCTCCCTCTCCGCTCCGGTTTATTTAAACTTCGCCTCCTCCAGCGCCGCCGTAGCGCGCACTTAATGAAGTTGAAGGCTCGGTGAGCCCGGGTGAAGAGGGTTTGGAATCTGTTGAAAGCGGCGTTTTGTGACACTGATTGGGGCGGGGGCGGGGGCGGGGGCAACCCGGGACCAGACAATGACCGACCAGGCGGGTTTTCCTGCGCGCAGGGTCGGGCGAATAAAGGCGCCGATGCGGTTTAAACGAGGGACCCTGCAAGAGAAAGGGAGAAAAGATTTTGAATGTGGAGCGTGCCTCGTAAGGTTTGGTGCTTAGGAAGTGGTGGGAGGAGGCAGCACGCCTGGGTCTTTACGATCCGAATTTGGAGTTTACTTCGAACCCCGCGCGTCCCGCTAAAGAGAAGCTAGGCGGGTTTGGGTTTGCGCATAAAATATTGCGATAAATGACTCAGAAGGGTGTGTAGGTTGGGGTCTGGGGAGGTGTCCCAGCGGCCAACCAGGATGATGTGCGACGCAGCCTACATTTGTCCCCGGGGCTGGCGCTGTGAGGTTTCCGGAGAGACGTTTATTGAGAACTGAAGGTGGGCAGTGGTGTGTAGGATAATTTGGCCTCCCAGGCTTTCGTCCATGTGAGCACTTGAGTGCAATTATTCTGCTTTTTAAAGGTTGGCATAGACGCGTATCAACGGAGAAATCTGTAGGGAGGACAGAGTCTTGCGCTCTGGTTTTAGGAACGAATTTTTCTGTGGGCTGAAGGGCGCGGCGCGCCGCGGGGCGGAGCGGGCACCGCCTCCTTC